TTAAATGAATGGGAATGAACTAGGTTGCCTACGCATCAAGTGAAATCAGGTCAGGACGTAGTTCGAATACAATAGAAAAGTGAAAATATGAAATAAAATGACTAAGCGTGACATAGTTCGATTCAATAGGAAAGTTAAACATATGAAATGAAATGAAATTACCAAGTCTGACTCAGGCTGCCTACATATCCAAGCGAAATCAGGTAAGGATGTAGTTCGAATATAATAGAAAAGTGAAAAACACGCAATGTAATGACCAGTCTTGACTCAGGCTGCCTACATATCCAAGCGGAATCAGGTTGGGATGTAGTTCAAATACAATAGAAAAGCAAAAAAATATGAAGAGACTAAATCTGACAAGGATTGCCTACGTATCCCACCGAGGAAATTCAGGTCGAGTGTAGTTATAAATACATGAAAATGATGTTTTTGGATTTTCTAAGAGAGACCGTATCCGATGTGGGTTGCCTACGTACCCCACCGTGGGAAGTGAGGTCTAGAAGTAGTTCTATTACATTGAAAAATGCAAAAGTATAAGAAATAAGCACTACTCTTGAGGTCTTCAGATGTAGTATTTCTTGATGGCTTCTAAATTGATTGTCTTTGTGCTTACTCTGTCGTCCTGTAACGACCCTCAAAATGAATTAGGATAAAGTAGAGCCTCACATGGGTTTTATGCATTAATAACTTGTTAAAATAATGAATAATAGCCTTTTAAGCCAATTTTAAAGAGTTTGGAAGTCAAACGTCAAGGGACGACCAAGATGTTCGAAAACTAGTCTTTTACGTGTTGGTGTGTTCTAGTATGTTGTTCATGTTTTTATGTGTTGTTTGGAGTCTAATATCAGTGGAGGTGACCCTAGTGTCTTAATAAATATTTTTAGGGTCAAAAGTTTGGATACGACGCCCCGGGGGCCACCCTAAGGGTCCCCGAGGAGGACCCCAACCTTGGCCAAGCAAGCTGCCAAGGCAGTTTGACACTGCTCATGGAAGGCGCATGTCCGCGTCGCGGACTAGCTCCACCATAGGCCAAAGTTTTGGTCCGTGTCGCGGACTCTACTGTCTCGAATTTAATTTTCAGAAAACTTTTGGGAACACCTCCACGTCGCGAACTTGTTTCCCGACGAAATCTGCGAAAATAAAACTCAAGTTTGACTTGTTTAAAAGGTCCAACTAAGTGAGGGGTAGTTTGGGTACTTTGGGGAATTATTATAAACGGTTATTATACCTATTTTAGGGTATTTTAAGTTGGTTAAAACCCCAAAATCCTATAATTAGACCCCATTCTTCAAATTGACCCTTCCCTCTCAAAATAGATTCTCTCAAAAACTCCATTGAAGACCTTGATGAAGCTCAAGCTAGAAGATGGGTTTTCAACTGATTTCTTCTTCAATTTCATGGGTCTTCAATAATTAAGGTAATGATAACTCTTGATTCTTGAATAACCTCTCATTCAAGGAGTTCTATCAAAGATTTTCAAAAGTGATTCAAAGACCAAAATTCCCAATTTTCAATCTAAACATGGGTTCCTTGTCAAACGATTTTCTAAATAATAATGTGGAATTAATGTTTTTAAGACAATTTTCAAAGGAATTCTTGAAGAACCCATGATCCCCAAATTCTTGAAAATTGTCCTATGATGTGGGTCTTTGTGAATATGATATCTATTGGTGGAATTATGTTTAGACTAGATTGTATTGATGTTTCCTATGATTGTCTATACTTATTCATGTTGAATTGTTGGTATATTGATGAGTTGAGAATTAGGGCCTTATGGGCAAGTTATGGGTTGATCCCTTTGTTTATGGAATTGTACTTAGACTATGTGTATGATATTGAATTACATTGTTGATTCCTATTTCTACCTATGTCAATTGATTATGAATTGTTGAGGATTGATCCATGGTGATCATGGCTTGGAGAAATGGGTAAGTTGACCTAACTTTTAGTCTATAGTATGAGAATTGATGTGGTGTGGTTTGATCCACTTATGGTGGAGGTGTTCACTTCTTGTCTATCTATGCATGTTAAGATCATGGCCTTGAAGGCAATAGATGTGAAGTGAATTGATGATTATGATGTATATGTTTATGAAGTTATGCTATGAAGATTATATATGAAATCCTCAATGATAGCATGATGTTTAAAGTGTGTTGATGATGAGGAGTATAATGTGAATGATAATATTAGGGATAAGGTGTGGTCTACATGATTGATTATGTTAGGTACTATTGTGGAATGACCCCTACCTATATGACCCCTATATGAATGTTTGATCATATACATGTTAGGAGTACCTACTCAATGTTGAATGTGTCCTTGTCTCCTATGATGAAGTATGGGTGTGTGGTCTAGAATCCCTAAGGGTTTTATATGTGAATTGCTCATGATTTGGGGACATTGTGAATGTGTGGTGATCCTTTGAAGGGAAGTGCACTCAATATCAATGTTGTTGCTATTATGTCACTATGAGGACCAATATGCACGTACACACTGTACGTGTATAGCTATGAATATGATGTGTTATGGTGTCTATTGAAAGGTGAACTTTTATATGCACCCTTACATCTTATTATGCATGCAAAGTGTATGATTAGCAAGGTATGAATATGTGTTGTATAAAGGTTTTTATGTGAAAGGCTTTCTCACATATGTACACACACACATGAATGAATGAATGAATAAGGTTTATGATAATCTAGTGAAAGTGAGTCTCTTGAAAGGTTTCCTCAATTGTACTCTAAACTAGACTATGTTATGAATATGGTATGATTATGTGAAAGGTCATTCTCACATAATGTAGGTTCTACGATGAAAGGTCATTCTCATCTTAGAAACTTTTGAGCTATATGATATGAGGGATTAAGTCCCTAAAGCCTACTTTATGATCTAATGTTAAATAAAGGCTTAAAGATGTTTAAAAAGGGAGTTGGATGTTGTCTCATGAGATGGAAACCTCCACGCTTAGTAAGTTAAGATTTTCTAGTAGCAATCTCCTTGTTCCATAACTACGTGCCCCCGTAGGTATTAGCTTAGTGGATCCACTAGATAGCTATTATGTACCCTCTCTTTTCGGTGTGGGAGTAGAACACCGGATTCCATGTAGCTCACATGGTCTATGTCGGTTATGGCAATGTCTCCTGAAAGTTAAGAAATGAACTAAGATAAGAATATGAACTCTAGTCATGATTTCTTGAAGAGTTACTTAGTATAGGTAGGACTATGGACCCTACTTATGCATTGCACAAGTGTACTCTAAGGGAGGTTATGATTAGGCTCTTTATGTAATGAAAACTATGATCTATGTATGTTAATATGAAAGCATGTTAAGGTTGACTTTACTTATGTCAAGACATGAAGTATGATTATGCATGTGAATTACATTTATGACTTCTTAATGGGTTTGCTTAGTATATGTGGGGGTATGGGACTCCATGTGTACATTGCACAAGTGAGCTTGTGAAGGGGTTGTGAGGGTGGTTTACCTATGATATGAACAAAATAGGTTATGACTAATGATGTAGTAAAGGAATGAGTCCTTATATGATGTTATGAAGTATGTTGGTCTTATGCCTAATGTTAAATGAAGATGTTATGACTTGTTGAATACGATGTGCCTAGTTATGGTGGCTTCCTAGGAACACTTGGTGGGAGTAGTATTATGGGATGCTACTTGCACATTGCACTAGTGTGACTTGGGGGTTGTCTTAGGTGATGGTTCCTATGTGAAGACTATGTCTTATGGAGTGCTTATGACTCTATGAATATATGTGGTTGGATTGATGAAGGCTATATGTAAGTTCACCCTTGGTAACCTTAAGGTGATACATTGCACCAAGTATTCCCTAAGGGTTGCTTGAGGAAAGGAGTTAAGATAAAGAGGAAGGTAATGTATTGTATGCATTGAATGTGCCTAAAATTTTATAAGTTGCTCTAGGTGCTATTATGAATGGTTTCTATGTGTATGATGATGTATGTGGTTTATATTGTGCCTATGTACTAAATGTTCTTGATGTTTCTCTAAAAAGGCATGATGCATAGTTTCCAACTAAATGTCTTTTTAAAAGCATGTTTTGCATGGTTATCATACTTAGTGCATTCTTGTACTAACACCATTCTTCTTCATCTTTTACACCAAGTGTAGGTGGTGGTGGCTAAAAGGACTTTCCTAGAAGTGATGAGCTTGGCTTACTATTCCCAAGTTCGAGTGTGTCCTTAAATATTCAAGGACCTTTATGTTAAAGAGTTTCCTTAAGTTCTATGTACTAGATAGTAGTGTCTTTTGTATTGTAAGGGGTTGTGTCCCTCTTGTGTTGTAGTCATGTTTTAAGATGGCTACCTTGAGACATAGTACTCCGATTTTGTATTAAAGGTTTAAATGAGGTGACTTTTAAGTCTTGTGTTATATTATGGAAAAGTTTTAAATTTTCTGCTATTTTTCTATGATAAATGCTATGACGAATGCTAAGGGCTTGTATAAGACCTCCGAGAGGTCGAATAAGCCGGTAACGACTAGGGGATGCTCTCGGGTCGTTACACGTCCATTTCTGCTAAGATTATTGCTCTTCCAGAGAAAACTTTATGAACCATGTAGGGTCCTCGCCAATTTGGTGAAAATATCCCTTTGGCTTCTCCTTGGTGAGGGAGGTTCTTCTTGAATACTAATTGCCCCGATGTGAACAGTCGAGGTTTGACTTTCTTGTTGAATGATTTGGTCATTCTGTTCTAATAGAGTTGACCATGACAAACTGCGTCCATCCACTTTTCATCGATGAGCATCAATTGTTCATAGCTGCTACATATCCATTTTGCATCATCCAGACCAACCTCTTCGATAATCCTTAAAGATGGTATTTCCACCCCAGCAGGTATTACATCTTCCAAACCATAAACCAACATAAAAGGAGTTTCCCCAGTAGATGGTATGATTCTGGTGCGATAACAAAGTAAAGAATATGGTAGCTTCTCATGCCACTTCATGTGACTGTCTACTATTTTCCTTAAAATCTTCTTGATATTCTTATTTCATCCTCAACAGCTCCATTCATCTGTGGCAGGTAAACTGTGGAATTTCGATGAACAATCTTGAACCTTTCACAAGTTTCTCTCATAAGATCGTTGTTGAGATTGGCTGCATTATTTGGTATGATTGATTTTGGAATTCCAAACCGACAAACTATATTGTCGCGAACAAAGTCTACTACCACCTTCTTAGTCACTGCCTTGTATGTCGAAGCTTCGACCCATTTTGTGAAATAATTGATAGCTACCAGGATGAAACTATCCCCATTTAATGCGGGAGGATCTATGGGTGCAATAACATCCATTCCAGAAGCAGTAAATATCCAAGGGGAACCCATCACATTGAGCTCATTCGGTGAAACCCGTATAAAATCTCCATGCACTTGACATTGATGACACTTTTGCACGTACCAAATGCTATATCTCTCCATGGTCATCCAATATTATCCAACTCTTAAAATCTTCTTTACCAAAATGAACCCATTCATATGAGGACCACATCTTTCTGTATGTATTTCTTCTAAAAGCCTGGTCACTTCTGCGACGTCGATACATCTCAACAATTCTAAATCTGAAGTTCTTCTATATAGGATTTCTCCGTTAAGGAAGAAATGATTGGCCATCCTCCTCAAAGTCTGTTTTTGCTTACTTGTGGCATTTTCAGGATACTCTTGTGTTTTGGTGTCATACTCAAGATTTCTAGCGATTAGAATGGTCACTACGATCATGGGAGATATGCTTGGACAGTCAGAGGTTCCCTTAGTTAAACAATGATAACATGTTGCACTGAAGATGTCATGGCATTTGTTTAATCTATGTCAGGGCAATCAAGGCCCTCATATTCATCATCTAGAGTAACCATGTTAACTTCCCGATTCTCATGATTTGACAAGGGGCTATTGTTTACATTGGGAGATGGTAGAGTGCATATGATTACTGCTCTCTTAATCAGAGACTCGATCTCATTCTTTAAACAATCACAATCTTCTGTGTTGTGTCCTTTGTTTCTCGAATGGTAAGCGCATCGCTTGTTTCATTCTAAGTTGTGAGGGATTGGATTAGGAAGTTTTCCTTCAACTAGGTGTATAACTCCCGCTTTCCTCAACCTCTCAAACAATTAGGCATAGTGTTCGGTAATAGGTATGTAAGCACAAGCATTTCTAGCTTTGAGATTTGGACGTTGTGTCGGTGCATAAGCTGGTCTACTTTGGTGGATTGGTGCTTGGACAGGGACATATGGTCTTTGTGGATTTTGGTGTGCTAGCTTGCCGTGCATTATAGTGGGGTTGGGTATTATATGCTAGTATGGGACGTTTGACATATGTGCAACAATTGGGGATTGTTGGGGTATCTATGGGATGGTCCTCCTTGTTGGTAAGTGACAGCTGAAACATCCTCCCTTTTTTTCTTGATGCTACCAATGACACCCGATTGTATGACCCTACTTGCTGCTTGCAATGCAACCATAGACTGAATTTTCCCAGATATGACACCTTCCTTTATGAAGTGTCCCATCTTAACCAATTCTGCGAAATTATGCCCATCATTGACATCATCTTGTCAAAGTAGATACCTTCTTGAGCTCAAATAAAATACTTTAAGAGCTCACTCTCATCTAGTGGTGGTTGCACCCTTGCGGCTTCAGTTCTCCAACGTCGTGCGTACTCCTGGAAATTCTCAGATGGCTTCTTTTGTTTGTTGGTCAATTAGAATATGTCAGCTATAATTTCAGTATTGAATTTGAAACGAATTATAAAATCTTCAGCCATTTCCTGCCAGTCACGCCATTTTTTATGGTCCTGGCGCGTTTACCAGGTCAATGCTTCTCCAGACAAACTCCGAATGAACAACTACATCCTCAGCTTCTCATTTCTCCCTATATAGACTAACTTGTCACAATATTCCCTTAAATGTGAGTGAGGGTCACCTTTTCCATCAAACATGTCAAACTTGAGTGGTTTGTACCCTATCGACATGTCAATGTCTGGATGGATGCACAATTCATCATAATCATGGCTCTATGTTCCCTAGTGACTTGTAAGCTTTTCAATGCCTTTCTTAGACCATGAAGTTGGGCATTTATCGATGCATCCTCTTTCAACTGATCATCTTTATCCATTTCTGCATATTGATCGACTTCGTACGAGACATTAACCACAACTAGCATTGTGAAGGTAAGAGCTCCAGTGGCATATACGGGTGGAATGTGTGGCTTAAAGGGAGCAACGACATGTGCCCCAAGTATCTGCTGCATTGTAGGTATGCTAGGGTCATGATTATAGAACTCAAGAACAGTCCTGACTGCGGTTGGAGAAGCAGGTGGAACTCGAACGTGAGAAGGAGCATGTTGAGTTTGTTCTAGGTGATTTGGTAAGTCAGCAGAAGGAAAGTCAGCCTTTGGGAAGTTGATAGGCATCTAAAAAGTTGGGAGAGTGGTAGCCAACAGTTTGGCCAAGTCTCGCACTTTACGTAACTCTTCCCTCAAGATCTCGAGTTTTTTTCCATGTGAGTGATTTTCTTTTCATTTTGAATGTCTCTTACATTTCGAGAACCTTCAAGGTTCTCAATACTATCATTATGTTTGTGGCAACACGTTTAACTTGTCTCTATCAGTCATCTTTTCTTTTGATCGAATGTTGTAACGACATCAATTCAAATCCTGGATTTTTGAATTGAGTAATCCAGTTTGCAAGTCGACACAAACCAACGTACTTTTGGGAATTAATGATGAACAAAAAGAAAAGATAACAAAGAAAAAGAGAAACTATGTTAGTTTGGGAGATATTGAAAGATGTAATAAATATGTAAGTGTAACACATATATACGCTAACTTAGCGACATTCAAAATGCATCCTAATGTAGAACCCTTTTTTTGCTGAGGTAGGCCTACCTTACAATTAGTTTGATAGTAAACGATCCATTTAAACACATTTTAGATTTGGAGCAAACATAACTTCATTGATCAAAGGTCGTCTTGGGTATCACAATGAGTTAAGAGATCAGAGGCCTCAGAAATGAAAATATAAGGGTGGTCACAAGGCATACAAAAGGGATAGCCCACAAGACACTTTGAGGAGCTACAAAAGGGTATAAAGAAGAAAGACAATCTAGGGCCAAGTTGGAGCATCTTTATCGTTCATATCATAGTAGGGCCTTGGGTGGTACTTTGAAGACTCTTTAGGGTCGCGCTCAGGTGATATGTATATCACCCCTCTATCCCTCGGGTCATAACCCATTTCAAAAACCTCCATGTGGTCTCCCCCCCCCCCCCCCCCCCGCATCTTATGAATCCTCTTCTGGGTCCTCTTCGGGATCCTCTTCTGGTTCTTCTTCAAGATCCTCTTCTGGTTCTTCTTCAGGGTCTTCTTCTGGGTCTTCTTCAGGGTCTTGTTTTGGGTCTTCTTCCTCTTCCTCTTCAACCACTTGGATTAAATAATTGATAGATCCAGGAACTATCTGATTGTACAGGGGTGCAGTGAGTTCCATGCGAAGAAGTACTTATTTTCTAACCCAATCAATCCATTGGTTATCTACAAACCACTGGTCCCTTGTACACTTGGTTAAGCCATATGACTCACAGTAGTCCGCCAAGCGAATACTCTGGTGTACACCAACTTTCCTCTCCAATGTTTAAATCAACCACGTATTCCTATATGAATTGCAAATTTCTTATCCACCCTAGTGAGACTGAAGTGAAAGCGTCCTTGTGTACTCCCATGATCGACCACAACGGAATGTCTTGGACAACTCAAAATTTCCTCATAACTCAAAGAGGTGCATATGATTGAATGCCCCTTTGCCCAATCAACTCAATAAAGAACAAATATTGAGTCCTTGCAAATGTCAATCCTCTTATCCAAAAAAAAACATCCATTGGATGGCATCTCCCAAAGGTTGTTCAGAAATGTGTGCCACTAGACCCTTCCTATCTGCGCGCCAGCCAAATATCGAAGGCGATCTTCGTGGCTTTTAATCCTGTAATTACAGGAGTCTATGCAGTAATCCATCTGTGGATCACGACAATACAAGTGTTCCATCGCCCAAATCTGTAACAACATATTGCATCCTCTAAAGAAGTTGTGCCCTCTCGTGCAAGCTGTCAATAATCGAAATACCTTGGGGAGAATCATGTGTACCAAGGAATATCTTTGTGGATTGTCAAAAATGCTCATAACCATCAGCAATATATTGATGTCAACGAAATGAGACCTCATGGTGAAGACCATGATCCCCAAAAAAGCCATCATGAATACCCTGGGCCTCAAATGCACCCATGCTACACGGGTGCATGCAAATTCGTGATGATGTTCATCATAACCTTCAAAATGCCCAAAAATTAAAAAAAGGTAGTCTAGCTTGACTTTTTTGTGTTCCGCATGTATTAAAGATGGAAAGATATTCAGTTCTAGAAGACTTAGAAAATCACCTGGGATATATGACTGATGGGATCATCGGCAACCTTCCTCTAATTGGTAGTTTAATAAAACTACTGAACTCCTCCAATGTGGGAGTGATCTCAAAATCTGAGAATTTGAAAGTCACTGTGTTTGGGTCCCAGAACCCCATTAACTGATTTATGAAGACTTTGTCACCTCGTGTCCATAGAAGTGACAATAATACTCCCAACTGCCCTCGAATCTCAACTCCGCGTATTCTATGGATGTTCTGCCATCAATTCTATAGGTTATGTGGGGCTGAAACAATCATTTGGATATTTGGCAAGTCCTGGTTGTTATTCATCTAAAAGGAAAATAAACAGTATGATAAGTTTATCTTCTCTAAATCCATTACGTGTTTTAGTTTTGATCATGCATATCAATTTCACACAAAACGTATGTCATCGAGTTTCAAAGAAGAAACTCATTAACATGTGGGTAGTTTCCTAAACGCAACGACAATACCTTATATTGTCTTGCCTAAGGCTATGCAACATGACCTATTTCTAAAGTAGCATTTTTTCCTAGATGATTGAGAATGGGACTGAGTAATTGCGAGATGACGCACTATCTTAATTGCACCAACTCTGAAACTAAGGAATTCAAAGTAGTGTTGGAGGAGTGTGAGACACCCTTCACGTGAAGAAGTGTGTGTGCATGTGTACAACCAAAGACTCGATAGAAAGTGCAGATGATAGTATATGAAAAGTAGTAACAGGTAATGTTTAAAAACAAATAAGGAACACAAGTTTGGATTTTACTTGCAACCTTACAATCAAAGCAATATATCATTTTGGTAAAGTAAATAATAGGCTGAAAATAAACAAGTAATCTCAAATCTTATTCCTAAATTAAGGTTTCTAAGGTTAAAACCTAAGTAAGGTCTCAGCAGAGTCATCAAGCTATCGCACCCTATTTCGAACTAGCCGAAACAATTCACAACATAACATGGTTGTCACACTTATTTTTTAAAAATTGTTTATTTAAGAGTCGCC